AAAAAAAAAATGACAATTGTATACTGGACAACGTAAGTAGAGCAATAAATCACAAATAATTACAATGGACGAAGTAAACTATATGTGCAACTCTTCTTCTTCTTATTATTTTATTTGTTTTAGTATTATTAGAATATAAATTTTATATAGACTTTTGTCATTTTCGATTTATTCATATTTTTTTAAACAAATATAAAAAAACATTGTCCACTTGAAAGTAATAATATTTTGTTGATTAAAATTTTAAGAATGAACATCTATAAGAATATCTACAGCAAAGTGTCCAAGATCTTTTCTTCTTTTGTTTGAAGATAAATGTATAAACTTGTATGACCGACTATAAATCACAAGTGTATTACATAGTTGCAACTGTATAAACCACGATTTATCTTTCAGGTGACTATAACAGGATTCGATCTGTCTTCGTACCGACAATCGTTGATCAAGTGGAACCACGCAATATCTATAATGTATGGCCAGTGTAAAGAAATTGGCTCGGACAAGTGCTTGATGGTTCCGTACGAGCAACTGGTGCTACATCCGCGTCAATGGATGAAAAAGATTCTAAACTTCTTAGACGTTCCTTGGAATGAATCTGTGATGCATCACGAGGAATTCATTAACAAGCCAGGCGGCGTGCCATTGAGCAAGTAAGCATACACGCACTGTGTTTCTTTCAGGAAAAATTAACACGAGGAGGATCACACGTCTGTCCGAATATGACAAATATATAGGAGTAAAGCCATCGGGGGACTAAAATCTATTGTGTTTTTGGAATGCAGAGTCGAGAGGTCGTCGGACCAGATCATAAAGCCGGTCAACCTGGAGGCACTGACCAAGTGGGTAGGCCACATTCCGGATGATGTGGTCAGAGAGATGCCTGACATCGCCCCGATGCTTTCTGTGCTCGGCTATGATCCTTATGCTAATCCGCCGGTGTACGGAGCACCCGATAGACTGGTTAGCGAAAACACCAGACGGTATGTAACCGAATAGTCGGGCAACTTTTAACCTGAATTCTCAACCTGCGATTATTTCTAGTCGAAGATTTCATATTTGACAACGACAATAATACAAATCGGTCCAATTTAAATTTTTATAAAATAACGTTTCATGGTTATGATTATAAAGATTAAGAGTTTAAATACCTGACTGAAATCAAACCCTCAAAATTTGTACCACTATAAATTTTAACCCGCTTTTAGTTATCATTTTGAGAAACAGTCGAGAAACATTGATCTAGAAAAAATGCAATCACGTAATGAAATATTTTCTCTTCAGAGTGCTAGCAAACGGCGAAGTATGGGCAGCAAGGGCGCGCCAGTTCTCTCTGGAGAAGCTGATCGAGCTGAGCAAAGAAGAGGAGGCCACCAATACTCCAAATGCGTGACCTCGGATACATTTTTCCCTAGGCACGCGAATCTTGAACCCGTACAATTTCTGCAACGTCTAACGAACGGTCTTGAGAGAGCCAGTTTGTAACGAATACTATCGAGAAAGTGCCAGATGAGAGTGCGGACTTCTTCATCCAAAGTTGTTTCTCCAAGTTGGAAGCTAGGCTCGGTCGTTTTGTCAAGGAAATATATTCGAGGGCAGCGAATAGTAACCTGACGAGGGAAAGGGACGCAATGATCCGTCTAATTTAAGATTGACTCTCAATTATACGTTCAATCTTGACCCGTAGACCAACGGAGTTATAGATTGCTGTGCAATTGTTTGCGAACGCGGTTGTTTTCTTTATGCAATATATGTTAACCGATAGATGTTTATCTTCGATTTCGCCCGAACATGTAATAATCTCGTCACTTTGCGTGATTCTGTTCATTTAGACGGATTACATGATTTTTCTATAACGCGTGATTCTGCAGTATGGAAACTCACCGGATCAAGCAAAGCGCAAACGAAAGTGCAAACAAAATGCCATGCTAGAGTTTTTAATTGCTTCGATTTAGTTTGTTTTTTTTTTTTCTTCTTCTTCTTTTCTTACTGTCGTAACCAACGTGAATTTTGAGGAGCATATGCTACGTTGTGAAACTGATTCGATATAATTTCGTCTTATGGCCAGTCAGAAGAAACTAGGCTGTAGAACTTCAATGTAAAAAAATGTACAAGATGAATGCGCTGAATGCCGTGGGAAGAAAGCGAAAGTATTGCATCGATGCGAACAGGAGAATCTTTGTACGATGTATTATATTACGATGCAAATAATTTTTATAATGTTCCACGTGGAACAGTACTTATTTTTTAATGAATAACCATGGACGTTAATTGCCAACGTTAATTAATTGACCCTCAACGGGGGTAAAGGAAATTCTTACGTTCCTTTCATTTTCTATATTTATATATTGACGAAAATTTGAGCTAATGAGAAATTGATGAGAAATTTTTTTTTCGTATTGTAAATTGATTGTATTATATCAACATAATCGCGGATCAACTAATTACGAATATAAAGTTATATTTATATTGCTAACGAAACGTGGAAGCGTACCGAATTAACAATTCGTAGGACAAAAACGATGTCAAACAAACTATTCCTTCAATTTCTGATTTTGTTATTATGATATGCAGCAAATGTTACTGGAAGAGCTACTATGATTGTAAGAGGACCGAATAATGTTCTTGATCATTGTATCACTTGACACAAATGCAGCAACTTCGATGTGGCATTACGTTGTTCGTGTCAACCATGTTACTGTCTATCGAATTATACAATTAAATTATTTTAATATTACAAAACCTGGTGCTGTTCCTTTTCCTCCTTCAATAATACAAGTTTCAACAGAGGAGAGTAAACATGGATTTAAGTTATTGATAATGCATGTTTTGAATCATGAATTAACATCATGAAGTATTAAATATATGTTATTAATTACGTTGTGGATGTGTTCATGAATTGTATTAGCAATAATAAATTAATGCTTGTAATAAATTATTACGATAAACTACTGCCACTATGTGCAGTATGATTTAACAAATTTCAGAGGATATACCTCGTCTGTGCCAGTGATTTTTTAGTATGTCGATCACGGGCCACAAAAGTAAGATGCAAAGTGTATTCATATATCTCGTCTGTGATATAATATATAACAATATAACACATAATAAAACATATAATATAACATATAATACAGCATATAATATAACATATAATACAGCATACAATATAACATATAATATATCATATAATATAACATGTAATATTACGTATAATATAACATGTAATATAATGTAGTATAATAGAACATATTACATATTATATTACACATTATATTACATATTATATTACATATTACATTACATATTATATCATATATAATATAATATGTAACTTTATACTTGTATAAAATATAAATATTGTATATTATAATTATTATAAATGTAAAATAATTAATATTTAAAAGATATAAAAAAAATGAAAATGTGTACTATAAAAAATTGTACTATTTATCTACTTTACATTACTTTCTCTACTTAAATATCACCATTAATTACGTAGATACGTAATTTACACAATAATTATTGGATAAATTCTCTAATAAACAATAAATTCTCTAATAAACAATATTTATATAAATATCTGAAAAGAGAAGGAGGTGGCTATATACTACATAAAATAAACATATTATATTACATATATGAGTATGTTCTTTTAAAATAGCATTGTAAAAATTTTTTCTATAGATCCAACTTATTACAAATTTATCGTTGTAGAAAGTATTATACTTTGAACATTGTATATGTTATTATATGCATTGTATACAATTTCGCATTTTAAAATGTCGCGCCTTTTTATTCGTTAAACGAAGCTGCGCAAAAGACGTGATGCGCAGAACATATTCAAATCTATTCGTAATAGCGTCCCTTTACGAGAATGAGATAAATTGATAAAAATTACCAATAATTCGATAAAAACACAAAATAGATATATAAATACATGATTAGAATAAAAATAAATGTTAAATACATCATAAAGAACTATCGAACTTACAGTTAATCGCCATGGTCTTCTTTTGTGGCGTATCCTTAATACTTCAAAATTTTCCTCACGATCAATCAACAATTTGTATCTGTAAAAAATACCAAAACTTTCAAATAAATATATGAAAAATAACGATGAATATTACAGTATTAATTGTTACATTAATAAATACTACAATCAAATTTGTCGAATGTTACAACTAAAAATTGATCAACGAAAAAAAGATAATTTATTTGTAAATTATTATACTATTTAATCAGTTATTTAATAGAAACGTACGTTAATTAAATACAGTTTACAATATCATGAACGGTCGAAGAATGGAGAATGAAAATTTTACGTAGATAATATAAACACTTCATACAAATCACAGAATGACATGCTTACATCACGACTTCTAACACTCAACTAACCCTTCGCGCAACAGATTCTTATTGTCAATTAATTTGGTGGAGTGGGGGAAGAGATTGATCTTATAGTACATAGAATGAATTCAACTGATATATGGAAAAACATGTCCCAATATATTTATAACTAACTTGGGATAAAAAATAACTAAGGATTTTTCTAATTCTTTATTAAATAACAAATGATATAATAAAAGTATTTTGTAACTTTATTTTTTAAACTTCCGTTTGAATTTTAAGTCTCAGTTTTACGTTTCATTAATTTAATAAATTTAATTTTTTTAATTTAGTAATATAATGCTTCTTCATGCCTAAATAATTTTACAAATCGCAAAGAACGTAGAAAACACTCTGATTCTTTTCGAGATCTTTATTTCAGAATGTGAAACACAAAGTATCATATTCTAATCTCATATTTATATAACATATAATATATAATATGAATATGATAGTTAATGCTTTATTTAAATTATGCATTTCTAATTGCATTTTTATGGCATTTTATATCTAAATGAAATAAAATATATTGTTCAGTAATATACGATATTTTTAGTTTTTTTTTTATTCTTTAACTCTAGATTTTATTCAAAATACAATGAGAATAAATAATAAGTACTACGTAACCATTATGAAAAAATTATGAACCGTTTCATTAATTTATTAATATTATATTATATTCAATCAAAATAAATATATTATTTAATTAGTGAAATTCATCTATATTACTTAAATTTTATTTAATATTTTAATCATAATTTTAGAAATTGTATTAATATTGAATAAAGCAGTAAAAGGCGCCAGAAGATCTTCCACAATAAGTGTCTTACTAATATTTTAAAAATTTAAATAAAGTTGAAATAGAATAGAATAGAAATTTAAATAAAATCCATTAAGCACTGTTTGTGCATTAAATGCAAAATTACATCTATTTAAAATTGACGATATTTTTGATATCTATTTGTGAGAAGAATCTAACCTATCTTATGTCAGTCAATTTACTGTCATTTTCAAAGATGAAAAATCAATTGATCATATTAAATAATTAAAAATAATATTTATTGCGATGTGTGCGACAAAATTTTTCAATGAATAAATCCTATTTATTGTATTGTTTTAGTTATAAAATATGTAATATGTAAATGTAAGTCTGTGACATAAACATTTCATTTTCTTATAAAATATATTTCTTATAAAATATTTATCAAATAAAACAAGACTGTCTATAATTTAAAATTAAAAATGAGTCAAGAAAGCCAAATTGTTATAAATCTTTACCTTATTATATCAAACTAACATAAATCTGGAGATGATTGTGATAAAGATATGTGGCATGCATACAATGTTAGTAAATTAATTTTTACATAAACAATACCTTCTGAACAATAATAAAAACAACATGATGAATTAAATTTTCAGAAATTTTGTGAACATGATTTGCACCCAATATGGATCAATGAAAAAGAATGTAGTAAAATTAAATCTGACAAAAATGATGCCTTTATAATAGAAAAATTTGAAAGTGACACATTTAATAAATTAAGAACATTTAAATGTCTGTAAGTAGAAGTTCAATATCATGATATTAAATTAATTGTCATTGATTTTATAAAAATATTAGGCAATATTATATTATTTTTACAGCATGGTTGGATCAAAATGTTTGCTATTTTGTTTCATTAATGGAAAATCCAGATGGAACAAGTTCAGTGTTTACGACAGTAATGAAAGGTCTTTGTATATGTGCTTCTGGATTATTTCCAAGAGGAAAAGTATACATTAAGAACTATTGTTGATATTTTAAGTGAAAATAATTTTATTACAGGATCATGTTCAAAAATTAATAGTTCATCTAGTTTTATTAAGGTATGTAATTTCAATTATGTAGTACTTACTTTTATTACTATTCTATTACTGTTTATTTGCTACTAGCTTCATTTAATTAATACATGTTTATTTGATAATGTATCAATTAGAACCATTATGAAATTAGATAGTTTTTGAAATATTGACTGTTCAGATTACCAATAGTTTATATTATACATATATCATTTATATTATACATGTAAATTTTTGAGACAGAATTCAATGTTTAATTAGTATTTTATTTTAATATAAAAAATGGAATACATTTATTCTAAATACATATTTGGTAATCTTTACAGATTACTAATTTATTGTTGATATGGAAAGAACAAAGATTTGAGAATATTGAACTGATGATTCAACGAATCAATATTTAATTTATTCTAATGAAGATAAATGTATTTATATATTTGTTTTTTCATTTTTGGATAATTGGTGATTTCTTTCAATAATAGACATTGTGTTTCGGAAGATATGCTATTACATACAAATTTGAACATATTTTGCGCATTACTTACTGCGCAGTTTTGTTTAACCGCTATGAGAGTGCGCCATGTTTAATTAGTACATTAGTTATATTGCTACATTAAAATATTCAACATTGTGAATATTAAAAATATTCTATATTCCTAATATGATATTTCTTATTTTTGGATATTTTTTATAAATAAATAATAGAAAAAAATATGAAAAAGAATATTTTATTTCTTTTTCTCTTATTCTGTCAATAAAATTTGTTTTTTGAAGAATTTTTGTGATCGCGCGCATTACGGTCGATAGAATCAGTGTTTGCTCCGTTATATCATTCTTAA